AATAATAATAAGAATGTTCTTCCTTCGTTTCCGAGTGGAGTGATTGATTTTGGCCGTCTTCTCCTTCAAATCGACCCCAACACTCATTTATGTCTCTCAGAAAGAGACTGAATATGGACGGTGTGGGTTCAACCACACTATCGGCTGCTTGGTTGGAGCTGATACAGCAGCTGAACCAGCCCAGGAAAAACGAGGTCTTACTTTAGTTTTGATAAAAATAAGTGGATACAGCAAAGTGAGCGTCTGACCAACAGCTGCAATTTACATGAATCCAGATGTGATTCATGATTCTGAAATGTAAAAATATCTGAGGACTGAAGGGGTGTAAATAGTTTCCTGGATGTTAAAAACTGCATATTTGCATCATTTATTTGAAATTTTGGGATTCACTATGAGGACAGTGTGTGTTTGGGCAGATTGTTACTGTGGCAGGTGGGTTTGCTCCCACAGTCTGAGTGTAAGCTGGCCGAGATGAGATCCATTTTTGTTTTTGTTTCTCTGCTCTGAGTTTCCATAATGAGTTTTCTCTCATGTGATAAGAAAAAAGAAACAACGAACTTTTCGAGTTCCTGTGCACAGCAGGGATTCAGGTGATGTAACTGTGTTTACTCTGAGTTAAACATTGGCAGGAGCCAGGAGCTTATCAGTTTGCATCCTGTCATCAATTAACACGTGAAGGCCAGAACATCTGCATATTTGTGCAGGAAACGTTTACCTGAACAGGTGCGGTCAGACTGTTGTTCTGTATGAAACTGACTTTTACATGTGAATCACATTTTCTTACGATCATCTGAGGATGCAGATGAGGAGCCGCGGCTGATGTGTGTTTCTGTCTGAGAGTGAAGAATCAGCATCTTGTTTTTCTGCCTTTGAATGATTTCAGCTCTTATCTTCTGAAGTGAAACAGAGTGAGTATTCATTCACACATAACAACGGCTTCATTCATAACACGAACACAGACGGACTTCATCACAGTTTTCATGTTTAATCAACCTGCTCGTAGCAAACTGACCATCCCCCGTCAGCTTTACTTATTACAGAACAAAAACATTTAGTGAAGGTAAGAGCAGCCTGTCAGGGCCTTTGTTAGTTTAACATGAATCATTAAGGATGTCCAACAGTCCACAGTTATATTCGTTTTAAAAAAACAAAACAAAAATGTACAAAAGGCTCTGAAAACTGTTTTTTTAACCTCTCAACACCATAAGCACTCCCAGGAACCCAGAGACTGGTATGACCTCCTAAAGGACCACACCTAGAACCTGCCTAATGTCCATATAAACTACATAAATCATCACTATAATCATCATAAGGACATCTAGAACATGGCCAGTAGAACTTCTAAATGAAAACAGGAACCTCTGCAATCTCCTGCAGGGTAGGGCTGGGCGATATGGCCTAAAATTCATATCGCGATATAATATGAAGCATGTGCGGTAACGATATATCACGATATATTCTTTTCTTCTGTATAACGTATTTTCCACACTTAAAATCCTTTAATTTTCTCAAAAATCGAGAGTTCCTTATGTATGACTTCTGATTGTGCTTACTGACCTCGAACCGATTTGGGCAGAAATCTGTTAAAAATGTTTTAGTACAACTTTGATAAGCTGCACTGCTTGATGGATTGTCAGAGCATTACGGCTGCCATAGGGAGGAGCTTCACGGAGTAATCTGGGTCCAAAACTCCGTTGGCTTCAGGTCCCAAAGTCAAACGAACACAGAGAGTTAAAAACTGTCTAAATTCTTTCATCTTTAATTAAATCATCAGCGTTGCTGCTTTATCAGGTGTAACAATTAATTTTAACATCCATGAAAACAGAATTTGTTAAATTTAACGGAGTTAGAAGTTAGCAGGAAGTTAGCTCGCTAGTTTCCACCTAAACATTTCATACCATGTTCTGACAGAGATTTTTGAAACTAATTCAAACGTACAGCTCTGCTGTCACTTCCAACATAAATGAAGACAGAAACTAAACAGCAGTGGCGTTTGTGGGGTTACTGAAGTTGGACTAGCTGGTTTATAATGTTGTGCTACGTGATTGCTAGCGACACAGCTATGTTAGCATAACATTAGCACAGTGAAGCTGGAGGATGAACGCCAACTTTTTTTCCACTCGATAAAAGTTAACGTGAGGGATTCTGGTGGTCAGGGACAAATGCAATCGCATAGCAGGATGCTGTACACGGACCAAACTTCAGTCAGGAGAACAACTGAGATTATTCATCCACAATACGAGGTTAGTTATTAATATACAGCAACAACATGGGAACAGAACAGCTGCGAGAGAATCCAACATTAATGAATCAATGTTACGGAAGTGGAGGAAGCGCAGTTTTTGGCTTTCCCCATATTTCAAATGTGCTTCATCTCTTTGCTGTGAATGATAATGGTTGTAGCCGCTGCGATGCTTTCGACCAAAACAGCCGCAGCTTGATGACATCATCAACATGCGCTATCGCGATATAGTCAAAATCTCTATCGTTGGCCAAATTTATATCGTTTCTATCGTATATTGTTTATATCGCCCAGCCCTACTACAGGGGACCCAAAAGTTATTCAAGTGCACCCTCACAGACGGGCATTCAAAAGACCTCTAGAACCTCTCTGCGATCTCCAGTCACACAACCACCATGAAGATTTCTAGAACACCCTCACTCACCAGTTTAACTTTCCAGGGGATGAATAGAACCTCTTCAGTGACAACCACAACCTCTTAAAGTTCCATCTTCACAGATAACCACTTAGGAGATGTCTCAAACCCCATCCAAAGCTACACAAATCATTACTAGAACCAATATTAGCATGTCTGAAACATCCTCAGAGGCCAGCGCAGCCTTCTCAAGAAAAACTAGAATCTCTTCAACCTCCTAAAGAGTATGTAAGAGTCCCTTCACAGAAAAATACCTCATAGACCTGTAGAACATCACCTCACAACCACCTCGAGGATTTCAGAGACCAGCATGACCTCCTAAAGGATGACTAGAACCTCTTCGATGGCGACAAAACTTCCCTTAGCACCACAAAAGCCCACTTCACAGATAAATAGAACCTCCTAATAAACCTTTACAACCTTTAGTCATGACTAGACTCACATTAAGGACGTGGAGGACATCCTCAGTAATGACTAGAGTTTCCTAAAGCTATTACCTGACAATAACTGTGGCTTCAGACCATCCAGGAAGTGAAGCTCTGAACACTAATTAGCATCTGTGTGTGTGGATGCAGTATTTATATAAGGATATGGGAAACAGCGACACAGAGTAGGTGTAACTAAGTAAAGGTTTTCAGTCTTTAATGCTTTTCTGTTGTTGTTTAGATGTAAACTGTACTGAGTCATCATCAGTACAACACAGAGCAGAACATGTAAAACATGCAGAGGAAACAGCAGCTGATTGTCCGGTGGCTCATTCATACAGAGAGGCCGAGTCCATTCACGCTGTGAGCCGAGTGGGAGACGAGGGCTAAATGTTCCTGATTAACTCCTCTGATGCTGATTTAAATCAAACTGCTGTTTAAGCAGCGAGCTGCAAATTCCTCAAACACCCACAAACCCTGAAGACGAACAACAACAGCAGAAAGGAGACAGAGACGGACGGCTGCTGGACGGACGCAGAATCAAGAATTTGTGTTGCTGAACGCTGTTTATCTGACCATCTGCATTACTTCCTGTCTCTGGCTTTGATGTTGCAGTGCACACTTTCAGGCCTGTTTACATCATTAGTACATTAACGTCCATTCATTTCCTGGACACTTATCCTTAAACCATAACCTAAACGAATCCGTCAAAAACAAATAACTCGACTGGCCACAGCGACGCATCTGCTTCAGCAGTTTAAACTAAAAGTCACGTTTCCAGCTGAAACCGGTCACACTACAGTACCAATGGTGTCCATCACAACAATGATATCCTAACAACATTATGCAGCAATTACATCCAACCAGGAAGCAGTTTGTCCAGCGTTGTCCAATCAGGGGGCAATCGCTGGAACCACAGAGCTCGTTCAGGTTCTGATACCCGATAATTGACTGTCGTTGGGCATTAGATCATCTACACTTACATAAACCTGCTTACAGCGCTGCGAAAAAACGTTTTTACCGTTTCTTTTTTTGCTATTTGTCACTGTTGTTTCTCAGATCATCAAATAAAATGTAATATTAGACGACCATAACCTGAATCACTGTCACAATTAATTCAGTTCAGTTTTATTTATACGGCGCCGAATCACAACAGCAGTCACCTCGAGGTGCTTTATAGTGTAAGGTAGACCCTACAATAATACATACGTGGTATGTTTTAACATAGGTGAGGTAGTTTTCCTAATAACTTAGTTCATCATTTAAAAACTGTGAAAGAAGCTCCCACAGAGGCTGAACATGCAGTTCCTCTAACGTCCAGCAGGGGCACCAGCAGTGAGGCAGTCCCACAGACGTCCACATTATAATCTGACAGCAGAAATAAACATGTTTACAGCCTGATACACAAACTGCTTGGCCCTGTGTTGCTGAGCTGATCGCTGTCTGTGAGGCTTCACCACCACTAATCGTTTCACAACATGGAAGCAACCGAAACGCTATGAAAAGTCCCAGAAACCCATGGGTGAAGTCACATGGTTACGTCCGTGTTTTTTCTGTAGAAAACATCATTTTTATTCTGTAAGGGAGAACGTGTCACAATCCATCCTCCTGCTGCTGTGGAGTCTTTATCACACCGATGGTATGTTAGCAACGCAACTATCAGAAATACCCATCTGTCCTCGTCTATCCTCCTTCCTCCACCTCATCATCATCACTTCCTCCTCCTCCTCCCGCTGCTGCTCTCTGGAGACTGAGCTAATAGACTGTTTAGATTTTCTGTGTGTTTGTGTCTTTAAAGTATCCACACCAACAATTTTAACATTTTTCTGCCATTAAGTCAGATTGTTTCCTGACCTCATGTGCTAATCGCTGGCTAAAAGGAGTATTCTGATGTTTCCCAGCTCCTCCTGGTAGCGCTCAGTCTGAGGTACAAGACCTACTCAAAATTTATAGAAAAAACTTTAAATTAGCTCTGAAAACAGGAAATAGATTTTACTTGTTTCCCATAAATCATCCCATGACCTGGTGACCTCTTGGGGGGGCTGACCCTATTTTAAAAACCATCATCTACTATATATAACATAGATAAAACAGCCCCAATGGGGACATGCTGCTGATGCATTTTACTGCAACACCTGTACTTCAGTTACACGAAGCTGAACATACTTTAGTTTCTCATTTACACGTTGGACATGTTGCTGAGTATTTTTACCTCGTTACATGTGGTACTGTTACTTCAGGGAGTTATCTAGATACACTGATCTCTCAAATCACTTTGGTTTGCTCTAATCAGAGTTACTTGTTGTTACAAACAACAATAAAAATGCAAAGTGGGTACAGGTCCCAGTTAGCAGCAGGTTAGTGGGGAGGTGGTCAGCCTCCAGCTGGAAGCGGGTCAGTTTGAGGAAACAGCAGCGCAGTAATGTAAATGTTTCTGCTCTCTTGCCAGCCAGATTAAAGAAAGCTGCTCCACACCCTGCTGCACACATGTTTGTACTTCTGTGATTGTGAGGACCTTCTGAGGCCTTTCACGGCCCCCTAACCCAAACCTCTTTTTAACCTGAACCCTTAAACTAAATCCAAACCCACAAACGGGCCTTTAAGAGTCCGTCCTCACAACACAGAAGGGTCCTTAAAAAGTCAATAAATACATAGGTCCCCACAAAGATAGCTGTGCAAGTACCCACACACAGGCGGTGAGGAGAAATCCTGTCTTTCAGATAATTTTAGGGTTTGGTTTTCATGGTAAAGTAACTTAAATCACTTTCAGCTTTTTCTAAACTTTTCAGCTGGAGCCAGTTATAGCAGCATCATGGCCCTTTTCCTTCTGTCAACCCTTCCTTTGATTTAAAGCTGCTTTGGCCACAAATACATACATGCTCATATACAAAGTGTTTCTCACATGATACAGAAGATAAATTAAACTGTTAGAGAACAGCATGGTTTTTTGCTGTTTATTTATACCGATTTTAATGAGTGAATTTAAACTATCTAATCAACCAGTCATTTGAAATCAAGTCTATTACCACCATCTAAATATTTTATACACAATACAACACAAGCCTAAGGTTAGTTTGATTTGTTCATAACTACAAACGTAAAACATCCCAAAATAATAAATATAGTACAACTTATAACAACTCACACCTGACCTCTAGTGGTCACATGAGTCAGCAGCCAAAATATCAGCGTATATATATTAATATGATAGACAAACATGGAAATAAACATAAAAACTGCATATCAGGTAATGCTAGCTAGCTCAGATACTTGCTAATAAGTAACATCCAGTCAGAATCCCTAACATTCTTAGGGCCACGCCCCTAAGAATGCAAACCTTAAACCTTTTACAGGTGACCTATACAACCCACCACAAATATACCTACAGAGACCGAACAGTTTACATCGGGCTGTAAAAGTGTTTATTACTGCTGTAAAGTTTTAACATGGGAGTCTATGGGGACCGACTCGCTGCTGCCCCCGGTGGAAACTGGAGGAACTGCAGGTTTTGGCCCTGGTAATTGCTGAGTGCTTTGTTAGTACTTTATTACAATTAGTTTTAACATTTTTTTCCACGTGATATGAAAGACAAAAGAATACGTGGATGTTAAACACATTAAAGGAAAGTTTCAAAGTAAATCTCCATTTGTAATCAGATTACATCTGAAACATGCATGCTGTGTATGATTTCATACATGTGAAACATTTTTAAATATAAAAAACAAATATCAGGTAACGTCAGGTTTCATGTGTGGATGAGTTTTATGCCTCTGTCGTTATTCCTGAAACATCTGTAAGACTTGTTGTGGGTCACGGTACCTTTCTGTTTGTCCATGTCGGTCGTCTCAGTGTCTGCTGATCCTCAGGCTCATATCTCTGCTAAAGAATCCAACATCAAACGGCAAACAGATTTCCTCCTGTTTCCTCCTCCCTGAACTCCCTCTATCTGCTCTGTGAGAAGCAGTTTGAGTTCTGCCAGGCGAGTCTGTGACCTCAGCACAGGAGGGAGGAGAGAGAGGGCGAGCCAGTGCTCTCATTATGCACGGGCATGCACAGAGAAACCTTAAATACAAAGTCACTTTAACAATGTGCCCACTGTTATCATCCAGTACACAAACACATTTAGAAAATACACAAGAAGAAAAATATCTGCTAACATTCTGGCTTTAAGGGTTTCTTCAGTGATGCTCCACAAACTACTGTAATAATAATAACAATAATAATAACAATAATAATAATAATAATTCCACAGCTATCAGAAAATCGAGGGAGAGCAGCTGGATTACAAAATTACTTAGGCCTCTTTTATTTTAGAAATATAAGTTATTCTTCTACTTGAGAATATCCTGTAATTTACTTATATTAAACCAAGTTTATGTTTTCAATAAATATAATGTATGTTTTCATTTGTCCAACTGTATCGACAAAATCCATCCTCTGCTGCTTCCGCTTGTCAGGGTCCCGAGGGTGGTAGAGCCTATCCCAGCTGTTGTAGGCCGAGAGGCAGGACACAAACTGGAGTGGACACCAGTCTGTCACGGGGCTAACACAAAGAGAAAGACAACCATTCACACCTATGGGCAATTTAGTGTTTCCACCTAACCCCACTAACTGCATGTCTTTGGAATGTGGGAGGAAGCTGGAGTACCTGGACAGAACATGCAAACTCCACACAAAAAGACCCCAGCCTGATGGTGGAGCCTAACTCAGGACCTTCTTGCAACATTAGAAGCTCATTTATTTCAGTCAAACATTTTCAAAACTACATATGACCTCTGTGAACCCCATTAGGAGTTAAAGGGTAAAGGAAGCCTTCTGTTTCTGACTGCAAACCTGCAGACAATCGTCACATTTTTCAGTGTTTTTCATTGTCGCAGTAATTTGGTAACATACCTATAGAAACAAGAGCTTCTATTAACTAATTTGGGTCACTTAGAAAGAAAGAAAGAAAGAAAGAAAGAAAGAAAGAAAGAAAGAAAGAAAGAAAGAAAGAAAAATGTAAATAAATAAAGTTACAAACGGGACGGTTGGGTGTGTCTAAATCCCCTTCTCGTCCGCTGGGCGGCAGTAGGAAGCTGTAAGTCTCGCGATACTACCTCTTTTCTCCTTGATGAGGAAGAGTCGCGGAAGAGGTAGAAGATTTTCCTGACGGCTCAGCAAGCGACCCATCAAGTTAGATAAAACTACCCGGCGAACCAGCGTTTTAAGCAGCTTTACAGGTCGGATAGACACCCGGACTGAAGGTAAAACACAGCGACGTGTAACGCCGCCTGTCTGATTGGTTTATTATTCGGTTGTTTTTACTGTAAAAGCTTCAGAAAGTGACCTCCTGCCGTTAGCGTTTAGCTGTTAGCAAGGCGTAGACAGCAGTGCAGCTGTTAGCCACTTAGCTCCAGGAGTGGAGCTCCAGGGGGGCTCGGGGGACTCCTCGGGGGGTTCCTGTGGTTGAGCCGTCAGCGTTTCATACGTGTGATGAGGATGAAAGTTTCCTCTCCGCGGGGCTGTCACAGTGTTTAAAGCTAACGCTGGGCTCGGCGTTAGCTTCTGCTAGCTCAGCCGGCTGCTTCCTTCTCTGAGCTGTTTGTGTCTCACTCGGTGTGTTTGGAGGCTCAGACCGAGCTCAGAGGATCACTGTGACCGGGCTCAGACCGAGGGTGGAGCCCCGTGTTTGAGCTCAGGTTCTCGGTTTAAACCAAACACATTTCTTTGTTTTCTCTCCGCAGGATCACGATGACAGCCGCACCTTACAACTACTCCTACATCTTCAAATACATCATCATCGGTGAGTGACCCGAGCTCCAGCTCCTGTGTTTACTCCCGCAGCTCTGCCAGAGCAGCTTTGCATGAGTCCGTTTATAATAACCGTTCTGTATCCGTGACCGCTGCCCCTCACATCAGTAAACTCCCTCCTTCTAGACTAAGCTTGCAGAAGTGCAGAACCTGGCGCTGGTAAATGTGGAGTGTCTGCAGCGGGTGCAGATATTAAATAAAGACGATGTTGAGCTGTGACTCATGCAGCGCTGCTCTGGTAAAGTCCAGGAGTGAAACTGGACGGTGAATGAGCAGGAACACTTCAATCACAGGGAGTAATAACGCTTCATCCGGGTGTTTCCTGATCACTGTCAGCCTTGGTGGCCGACCTCACCTGTGTTTGTCTGTCTGCAGGTGATATGGGAGTCGGGAAGTCGTGTCTGCTGCATCAGTTCACAGAGAAGAAGTGTGAGTGCTGCTTTTCTTCTTCTCTTTGTTTACTGAAGTTTAAGAATAGAATAGAATAGAATAGGCTTTTATTGTTATTATGCATGTATGATGAAATTGTGAGTTATGGATATTTAAAATTTACCACCACTGTTTGGGTATGAGGGCGCAAAGTGGTACAGCCTGTGTTTCTAGGTCTTTTATTTTGAAAGGCAAGCAGCGGAAAATCAGTTCAGGCTGACTTTTAGAGTCTTTTTTCTAATCAAGTCAAGTTTGTTGATTAGGAATCCGTCTTAGCTGTTTAACAGCACGGCTCTAGTTTATCATATAAATATCTTAATAATGATCAAGTGTCAAGTTCGGGCTTCATAAATATCGATTTATGTTTTTTTTCTTCATTTTGATGTAACCGTAAACCTCCAACTTTGGAAACATTTAACAGGATTTCTTTGAATTGATGAACAATGTAAATAGATTAGCTTTTAGCATTCAGTTTGTTATGCTAGGAAAAAAACAAAAAGCGACTCGTGTGTTTGATTTTATCTGGATGGTTTCATGAAATTCATTCTGATAACAGATTTCGTGTGTTTGTCCCTGAGACAGCGACAAACACAAACATTTTTACCTTTACTTACCTGTTGGTGACCACTGCCCGTCCAATTCCTGTGTGTGTGTGTGTGTGTGTGTGTGTGTGTGTGTGTGTGTGTGTGTGTGTGTGTG